AAGAAAAATGGCGGTGATCGGTGAATGATTTGGCAGTACTGTCGAAAAATCGATTCTATCCATACCATTGATACCGATCGATCAGTTTAAAAGAATAGTCATATATTCGTTCAAATAACCGATTTATCAACCGATATTCGATCGGCGATAATTGAATCGCACCGTTAAAAAATCGATTCTATCCATCGATATCGATCGAAAAAAAGTCAAATATTGTTCGAATAACCAATTTATCAGCCAATATTATAAAATAATTAATGATTAATGAAGGTAGAAGCAAGATTTTAAAGATTTTAAAGATCGGTGAATGGGATTTAACAGCACCGTCGTAAAATCGATTCTATCCATCGATATTGATCGACCAATTTGGAAAAAAAGTTTTATATATTCGAATAACCGATTTATCAACCGATATCGATATTTATTATAACAAAATGTAGCGAGATATGGATAATTGGATTAACGAAGGCAAGCTTTTAGAAATAAGGAAAATGGCGATAATTGGTGAATAACCTTCGACAGCACCATTGAAAAATCGATTCTATCCATGCCATCGATATCGATCGACCAGTTTGGAAGAAAAGTTTTATATATTCGAATAACTGATTTATCAACCGATATCTATTATTGTAAATAGCAAGAGACATATGGATAATTAAATTAACGAAAGCAAGGTTTTAGAGATAAGGAAAATGGCGATAATTGGTGAATAGCCTTCGACAGCGCCATTGAAAAATCGATTCTATCCATCAATATCGATCGACCAGTTTGGAAGAAAAGTTTATATATTCGAATAACCGATTTATCAACCGATATCGATATCTATTATTGTAAAATAGCTAGAGATATATGGATAATTGGTTTTAAATATGAATATATAAAATGGCGGTAATTGGTGAATGGGGTTCGGCGGCATCGTCGAGAAACCGCTTCCGTCCCGCGTTCATCCCGATATCGCAGATGTACCGAGTCGAACCCTCACGTGGTGGAGAGGACATGCGCGCACCCTCCGCAAATCCGCGACAGTATATAAGAGAAGACCGCGAATCTCCAAGTCTCAGTCCGCCCTCGAGAGTGTGCAAATCACGCTCACAAAAATTAACAACGCATTAACAACTGTGTATTTGCGATTATAACATCAGCATATTGTATATCGTACTTCGAGGGAGGTCAAAGGGTAATCAAACCCGATAAAAGAAAAGGGAAGAAGGAAAATTGTAGTCAGAAGTGTTGATCGAAACAAGAAGAATCGCAAAGAAATCAAGTTTTCTTTTCCTCTCCTATTATATATATTCCAATTACTACTCCAAAGTGTGAAAAAAAAGTGTTCGATTCGAAAAATTCGAGAGCGTGTTCTTCCTCGTATCCGAAAGCTTTTTAATAAAAAAAAAAAAAAGAAAAAGAAACAACAAGAATTGCAGCGAAACGAAGAAAAGAATCGCGCGAAGGGAAGGATCGAATTCAACTGTCGAGCGAACGGTTTAACAAAGATTTGAATCGGGCGTTGATACCGGGAATGGAGGATACGACGAGGCTCACCGATCCGGAGGACGAACGCCGGCGAGAAAACGAGAAGGTGGAGGCGAAGCGGAGAGCGAGCCCGAACGGCGGCCAAGCAAGATTGTCGAAGCAAGAGTTCGGGGATGACGAGTACAGCACGGATAGCGGGTGCAGCAGCGGGGGGAGCAGCGGAAGCGCGGAGAGATTGTCGCGTCGCGGAAGTAGCGAGCGACTGTGCCGCGCCGCGAGATTATCGAGGACCCACTGCTACTTGGACAGGCTTCGTGGCCGGCCGACCCGCTCCCAGGAGAAGCTCTCCTCGGTTCAAAGAAGCTCGGCGCGTGTTCGTGCCAAATCCTCCCGCTCGTGGAGCCCGGGGGACGTGAGGGGGGGCGTCGGGAGGACGTCCGAGTCTCTCTCCTACTCCTCGACCCCCTCGGACGCGCACAGCAGCACCGACTCGTTGAAGAGATCGAGCACCACGGACGTCCTACGAAAGGCCCTTCAAACGCTCAAGATATCCGCGAAATGGGAGGAGAAGAAGAACAAGCACGCGAAAAAGAGCCCGAAACGGATACTTCGCAGCCCGGTCGCCTACACGTACGTGAAGGGCCTTTCGGGCCTGCCGACCCAGAGGGTTCCAAGGAGGGTTGCCCAACAATTGGCGATGCCCTGCTCCTGTCAAAATTCCGTCGGTATATACCGATAAGAAGGGTATTCGAGTCCAAAATTCTCGATCATACATCTTAAGATTCGATCATGTTCGATTCTCTCTCTCTCTCTCTCTCTCTCTCTTTCTCTCTGTCTCTGTCTCGTACACATTTTCGCGCAATCGGGCTATTGGACCATTTCTTACGAACTTTTCGCGCGATCTATTATTCTATCTATCTTTCCTAGTCTGTACTAATTTTTCGATCGCGGTCGTTTCGCCGCCATTTGTTTTTAAAATCACGACCAAAACGATTGGATTGAAAAATGTGTATATACCGATTAAAAGGAGAGGAAAAAAAATAAAATAGGAGAAAAATGACCGGTAGAAAATATTCGCAAACGTAGTTTTGACGATGTATTCTTTTTTTATTGTACAACGTGTTTTGCTTTTTTGGCAAAACGTTCGAGAAACGTTTGCGGATCCGGAGAAAAAAGAAAGGGGGAAAAAAAAAATGCATTCTTCCCTTCGTCGCGATTACTTTTCGTCGATAGCGGCGAAGAGAAGAGTGCAAGCGAAAGAAAAGAAAAAAAGCGAAAAAGAGAAAAAGTTGCATCCATATTCGTAGATAGGAGGTACAACGACTGTACCGCGATTTTAAATTGTTGGTCTCTTATTACGTAAGCAAGATAGATCACCGTAGACGAGCAACGTAGCCATGCAACTTATGTGTGTATCTTTTTGTAGTGCAGAAACGATTAGTTGACACACGAAAAAAAAAAAAAAAAAAAAAAAAAAAAAAAAAAAAAAAAGAAAAAAAGAAAAAAAAAAAACATGTATACAAGCGATATCAATAATGTTCAATACGAATTCGCCATCAGTGAAGCGGAGAGGATCGAATGATACGATCGATACTTTCTTATATACTATATATATGTATACGTGAATCTTCTTTGTCGAATTCGTAACATATTTTCAACGCGCTTCTATCGGCGAAATAAATGTTTCGCCGGTTATTATTACATGATATATATACGAATCAATTGAACATCGAGATCGCGCGATGCCTTTGAGGAATATGGACGAAAGGAAGCGAGTGCTCAAGAGCGGAAAAAAAAAAAAGAAGAAAAAAAGGAAAAAAAAGGAAAAAGTCGAAACGAAACGAAATATTACAAAAAAAAAAAAAAAAAGAAAATGCTCGCGATCTCGCGATAATCTTTATCGTTTTATAACGTTCGATGATCGATGAAATATTTCAGATAAATTGGAATTAATCGTTCGTTAAGAGAATACATTTTAAAACATATCAATTCGCATTAACAAAAATGATATCGCGATTCTCGTCGGCCAACCAACTCCGATCGAGTTTCGGGATCGGCGAATTTCGGCCGTTTGTTACGTCGCCGGTCCCCTCCTCCCCTTGCCCCNTGGCGAAAAAAAAAAGAAGAAGAAGAAAAAAAGGAACAGATAGCCAGCGTTCGACCTCGTTTTTTTTCACCGTCATCGACCGGTTGCGACCGAATCGAAAACGAAGAGCGAGGAAAAGCGTGGACCGAAGGAAGGAAGGAAAAATCTTTTTTTCGAAACTTTCTCCATCGAAAATTCTCATTTCAACGTGACGATCGACGAACGCGCACGTATACGCGATCATTCAGTGCCTTGTAAATATCTATCGCGTGTATTACACGGATATATCGCGAAAAACAAATCGGCACAATGTTGGGAGAGATAAAATGATACCGGTATCTCGCGAGGGAAGGGGGCAGAGGGAGGAAAGGGACGAGTAATGTATGCCTAACGAATTCGAATATGGGCGATCGATCCTCGCGCCAAAAAAAAAAAAAAGAAGAAAAAAAAAAAAAAAAACACGAAAAACGGGGAGAAACGTGCGAGAATGATTAAAAAAAAAAAAAAAGGATGCATAAAGAGAAATATGCATAATCTCAGGACTGAATGTTTTATATTAAGTATTACCTATGTCGATACTATTTGTAGTTTATGTTTCAAATAAACGTTTTTCATTCAAACGAAAATGTTATTCTTTCTCTCTCCTCTTCCTCCCTTATTTCCATTTCCCTTTCTATCTTATTCCACGGTTAATTCGTCCTTCTTCTTTCGTTCTCCTCTTCTTGAAAAATGAATGCCCGATAACTGACGATTCGAGCGAGCTCGCTTCGACGAGCAAGATTTCCGGTCGCGGAGAATGGGAGGGAAAGGAAATCGTGAGGCTAAAGGTTGTGTTCCCGCGTGCAACGTGCTCGTTGCCGGAACACGTTTTCACGCGAAAAGGCGTGGAAAACGTGGAAGGACGACCGTGGTCCGTTTATAGCCTACGGCCATGACAGAATCAACGAGTGACCCAGTTGCAGGGGTTTCACCCTGCAACCCCGTGACGTCATCGAGCAAGCGACGCCATTCACGACCCTTCTTTGATCCAGATCCATCGGTTCTAGTGTCATCCCTACAAAATACCATAGTTCATTCAAGGATCGCGTTATCTTGCCACGATACCTTGCCGATACTCGTTTCACGCGCATCTCTCTTCCTTTTCTTTTTCTCTCTCTCTCTTTTCTTTCTTTTCTTTTCTTCAAGCGCGTGATCAGAAGGGACGAACGTCGACCGGATCTCGACAGAGGAGAGAAAAATTGGAAACGGGTAGATGGAGGGCGAGAGACGGAGGGTAGACGATCGTTGCAGTTTCCTTTTTTCTCCGCTCCGTTTGTCCCAGTTTCCCTTCCAAATTAGTGACGTCACCGACGTCATTGAGAAGGCCGCCGACAACGCGTCCCAATTTCCCGCTCGCGATTCAATAAACCTCGGCATCGAAGCCGCATCCCCCGTATACGCGCCATTCGTTAGACGACGATTCATCTCGTACGTTGTTCCGTGTTTGTAGCACGTGTGCATTGTACGCGTTAATTATACGCGTGTACACCGCGTATAATGTCTCGTCCTCTCTTCTTTCTTCTCCGGATATACCGGAGAAGGATTTTTCCACGAATGGAAAGAAGGTTCGTCGTTGAACGAGAGAAAGAAAAAAAAAAAAAAGAAAGGAAAAGAAAAAAAGAAACGGATCGA